TGTGGACTCGGTGGCCTTCCAAGTCTTCCTATAGTCCAATAAGTCTATGAATTCATCATCTCTCTACGTAACATCCTCCTGCTCAACTTATTTTTGGAAAACTGCCCAAATAAGGGGACATTCGGCTGTAATACTCTCCTTAAGCATTCAGAATTGTTTGCTTGTTTTTTTATTGTTGACCTGCTGAGGAAGATGGAACCCAAAGAGAGAGAAGACTGTGCTGTGCACACACATTACCATCCTACAAGATGCTGTGCCATCCCTACCTAGTGAGTCTCTCGGCCCGGAATTGTTTCAGCTTGGCAGTCCTTATTTCAATGGGGTCATAGAGCTCAACCAGTCAGACACTAGATGATTAAAACAAGAAGATCATAGAAAGAAGGTTATCACTACCACTGCCTATTGAATTACATCACAGATCAGAAAGTACCAGAGCTTGTGGGGACCTTAGAGATCATCTAACACAACTAACTCCTTTATTTCATATGCCAAACAAAAAAGGGCCCAGAAAAGAAATTGGGTTGCTCAAGGTCAGTTATAGGGAAAGTCAAGGCTTGCCACAGACCCCAGAGACACTGCAATCTTGTCTACGAATGAGAAAGAATGTTGATAACTTATTTGCTATGTTTCTTTGGGGAAGCATTCAGAATTGTTTGCTTGTTTTTTTATTGTTGTCCCATAGAATAAAATTGTGCCTCTGAAGTTTTGTTTTGAACTTTCCTTCCCCTAATATAATTTTATGACAAAAATCATTTTTTCATTAAAAACATAAGAGTAGAGTATAATGTTGCATATGCTTTTTCAACCTGCACATGCAAGCATGGAAATTCTTACACACCTTCCTAGGGAAGTGAGCCCATTGGGATGAGAATGAGGGGTTTATAGACTAGTGGGGCGGACAAAGAAGCAAACTAACAATTATAATGATGAGTCCAAAATGAGGACTTGGGTTGGGGGCGGATTTAATCCTGACCCGGAAGGACAAGGAAGGATCAAAAGAAAAAAAAGTAAATCCTGAGGTGAGCTTTGAAGGCAGAGTAGGAGTTAAGCAAGCAAAGGGGGGCATTCCAGACCAAGGCGGCAACAAGGTCAAAGGGCTCAGAGGCAGAGATGAGAGAAAGTTCAGGAAACTTCAAGTGGTCCAATCTGGCTGTGGCTAAAGTGCAGTGGTGGTGGCAAGGGGTCACTTGTGCCCCCTGAATGCACAATTCCAACAGCTGCCCCCAGATAAACACAACATAGTAGAAAGAGTATGCTTACCATGCCAGAATGACTTCATAATACAAGTTCTCCAGCACCACCTGGCCATCAATATATTAATTATAAGGTCATACACAATATAACTCAGAGAGGTGCAGCGAAGGGAGCAACGGACTGGAACGTACCAATAAGTCACTGTGGCCCTTCCTAGTGAGGTTGGCTGCCCCATTTGTAAAATGAGTAGTTGGCCCTGCCCTGGATGGTCCTTAAGGTCCCTTTGGCTCTGTATTCAGGAAGGACTCCACCACGTCTATGTTAGTAGAAGATCAAACATAAAAATTTGTATATCTCCGCAAAAGCACAGCCTGATCAGCAACTAATCCTCACCTGGTGCCTACTCCAGCATCACTTCATAAAAGCAAAGCAATCTAATTTTAATGTTTCCTATCAGTTCATAAATTTTGATTAGAAAGCAGTGGTCTAATGAATAAAATACTCATTTAGAAGTTAGGAAATCAAAGCTTTCTCTCAGGCTCCTATAAAAGGGAAAAAAAATAGGCCAGGTGCGGTCACTCACACCTGTAATCCCAGCACTTTGGGAGATGAGGCAGGAGGATAGCTTGAGGCCAGGAGTTTGAGACCAGCGTGGGAAACTTAGCAAGACCCTATCTCTACAAAAACTTTTTAAAAAATTAGCCGGGTGGGGTGGCGTGTGCTTGTAGTTCCAGCTTCTTGAGAGGCTCAGGCAGGAGGATTGCTTGAGCCCAGGAGTTCAAGGTTACAGTGAGTTATAATCATGCCACTGTGCTCCAGCCTGAGTGACAGAATGAAATCCTGTCTCTAAAAAAAAAAGGAAAAACACAAGGAAATTTCACTTATTAACTAGTTTTTGCCTCAGTCTTATCAATGCTCCTAGAAAGAAAATGTATGAAATATGCAAAGTGATGATAAAAATAATATCTACACATAGGGAGATTCACTTTACATCTACACAGAAAGTTTATCGACAATGATCGATTTAAAATTATCCTTGAATCAATCACAAATCTCATAATCAGAGTTAGGGTGAGTTTTCAGACTTCACGGTGCATCACAGTTACTGAGACCTCTTCCTGAAAGCAGGTAGCTTTTGGGAAGCTCCCATTGAGATTTTAATTCAGCAGGAGAACAAATTCCAAAATTCCCAGTTTCACAAAATAATCGGGAGATTCTCACGAGACATGGTCATGGGACAACCCACCCTCTGTGAAAGGCTGGATCTGACAGTTAGGAATGAGGGTAAAGGCACACAGGAGGGAATCATCTAGAAATTAAGGTATGGGCTTCAGGTACCTTCCCTGGGCAGAAAATAAACAGAATGGGGGAAGGGGAATAGCTATACCTGGATCTGGGTGGGGGTCCACTCATGCACTCATTTAATAAATATTTATTGTATGCCCGTATGGATCAGGCACTGTACTAGCCACTGGGGATTACAGAAGTAAATAAATGAGGTTCCTGCCCTCATATTGACATGCATGACCTCTTCTTGCAACCCTCCCTACCTGTTAAAATTGCTGCAGTTGCTCAGTCAGTCCTATAGCCCAGAATGTCCCAACGATTCCACTGAAGGAGGCCTCTTGAGCACAAGAAGCAGGAAGAATGAAAAAAAAGCATGGCTATTCTTGTTTCTTCAAGACTAGCCCTCCAAGTGTTACCGCCGCTGGAAGGAAAGGTTTTCTTAGCCTTCAGGAAGCACCGCAGAACACCCTGGAGGTGCTTCCTATCTTGTAAAGGTTTCTCATAGTAAGCCCTGTCAAGGTAAACATCTCCCCAACGTGGGTTAACCAAATGGCAATGTCCCCAGTAAAGTACATCCCACAGGGATACCCTTCCTGTTCCTGCTCCAATGTCTCACTTTTGGACAAAACAGCCATCCTGCCAAACCAATCTTCCTAAAGCACAGAGTGGGTGGTAATACCCCCTGCCCCAGGATAGAGTCTAAAGTACTGTGCCAGGCATTTGAGATCCTCTAACATTTTGATCCCTACCTCCCCCTACCCACTTCCTGTGATCCCCTGAATCCACTTCACTATTTCCTCCTTCTCAGACTTTGTTAGGTATCTTTCTCCTGTTGGCATCCCCTGCACGCTCCCTCCTATTTTTCTGGGCCCAGTTCAAATGCTACCTTTTCTAGAAGCTGTGACCCTCTCGGCAAGGCAAGCCTCTGTCCGCTTAAGTCTGCACTTGAGAACTGGGCGCTTTTCCCGTGGTTAGAAGCACTTTCTTGGCTACATAATTTATCTTCCAAGGCAGAATGTGCTCTTTGAGGATGAGTTGTTTTATGCTTTTTTTATATCCCTTCTCAGGACTTAGCACAGTGCCTCAGTCTTTGTGAAATGCCTCAATAGCAACTTTTTATTATATCAGGGAATTTGCTTTATTTTGTTGTATTATTTTAATGCATTGGTCAATTACAAATCTACTCCAAAGGCCATGCTAATGAAGCAGAAACAACTCTTTGATATGAACATAAAGGTCATGTTTTACTAATCTACCTATAATATTTTATGCACTGATTTGGGGAGACCCTGGGGAGATTTGGACTTTTTAACTTCCCCCTACTCCTGCCTCCTCCCCCACCCCACCCACTCTACCTTCTGCATCACTTCCACTCTGCCCTACCCTCACCTAAAACCACGTTAGCCTTTTAGGTGCCCTAGGACCTTCTCTTCCAAATTCTTTCTACCCTTACTCCCCTCCTAATATTCTTTCTGGCCTGAGGAGGTAGATCCTGGTTGCAAAGTGCGTCCCTCAGGCAATTTCAGGAACTCCAAGGCTGCCCTAGTATCCAGAGTGGTGATCCTGAGTACTCATGAGCTCAACAAACTTATAATGCAAGATCTGTGCTAGTTAGGCGAATTTCAAATATAGAACAGTAAGTAGTTTTCAGCTCAAACACAGAGATTCTACTTGCTGGTTTCTAAACGGATCTATTTTGCTGCTTCTTCTAAAATATAATGGATTTTAATGTTTTTCTGACTTTTATTTATAGAGAAGGGAGAACATGTATTGAGCACCTTTAGGTGCCAAGTATTGTGCTAAACACTTGAAATATGGACTTGATCTGATCCTCACAATGACCTTAGGTTACACACAGTTCCATTTTACAGATGAAAAATTGAGGTCAATAGACATTAAGTAACTTTCCCAAATCCATGCGATTTGTGGAGCTAGGATTTCCACTGTTGGTCCTTTTAATACAAAGTTCATACTCTTTTAGTTACACCATGCTGTACCCTTAATTAAAACCCAGAAGTTCATTCTGACTGTTTTGTCTTCCACTTCAAAACAAAGATTAGAAAGATGTAACCTCAGAAAAAGGAACTTTTTACATTCCTTAAAAAAGGAGCACCACCAGGCCACTATCTTATTTTATCAGGATCTCAAGTGTTGGATTAGTTTTCCTAAAAAGAGCACTGAATTGACTCAATTCAAGTATTACCTGCCCAACCATAATAGCACCTTTTTACACCATCACATAATCACCAAAATCTCTATTTTTCAAAATAAAAAATCACAGCCTACTAAGTATTACTTTCACAGTTTCTTTCTAGAAATTAGGTGCATGGTACAGTGGAGTAAAAATGAAAGAGTCCGGATTTCACCAAGATGTCAAGTTCTATACAATTGAATAGAATTGTCAAAGACCGTTAAAGCTAACAACCAACCAAGCAAGGATAAAAGTATTCCATAACCAAGTAAATACTTGCTATGTCCTTTTCCTTTAAGAATTTTAAATAAGGTCACATTTATTCATTCAACAAACATTTATTGAGCACCAGAAACTGTGCTAGGTGCTAAGGAATATAACTGTGAACAAGATAAACTGGGCTCCCGCCTTGACCAGATACTTTTGCTTTGAATGATCTTGCTAACTACTACACGACATTTGATGTTCTCTGCTAGGATTATATTTTTTTGGAAAGTCAGAGTCATATGAGGCCTCTTCTGGAATACTTTTAAAGTTTCTTTATGGCAAATTTGACAGAAATCTTTGTTTAATTTAGAGAAGGAAGGAAGATGGTCTCCGGTATCCTTTGGACAAGCACGGTGAAGGTCAAGTTAGCTCTCAAACAACATGGCCACTGGTGACCAACGAGGCAGTTTAGACCATTCGGTTGCGCTTGTGGGTTGGGGAGTCTGTGGTGCCATCAGTGCACTGGGCCGAAGTGCGCTTGCGGTTACCCCCACTGTCCACACGGAGGGCCAGTTCTTCTGATTCGAAGGGGTTCAAGCCGTCCTCGAAGAAGCTACTTTTTCGGCGCCCACTGCTGGCGACGCTGCCGTCTTGAGGAGGGGAGCCCGGGGCGCCTGATCGCACGCTGATGCTGGCCATGGCACCGTTGAGGCCGTGCAGGGCGATGGCCTCGTGAAAGGGCTGCAGGTCGACGTCCACCGATGAGCTGGACTCAGTGGCCGCAGTTTGGCTGGGTGCCCCAGCAGGCGGCTTCGGGGGTGTTCTGGGAGCGCGTGGCTGGGGAGGAGCAGGGGGCACTTTGCCGCACAGGAAGCTAATCAGGTCTTCGCGACGGATGGTGCTCCGGCCCTTCTTCACCCACTCCAGCACATCTTTGATGCGACGCTGGTAGCCAACCTGGACGCCCAGGTCAAAACTTCGTTGGTGGGCATCCCCGCTCTCCTTGTAGAGGCTGGTAACGGCCATGGCCGCGTTCTGGAAAGGGTCCCACATGGAGAGTCCTGGCTGTTGGCACCCAGAATCCTTGTAGAGCTGGGCCACGGCGGTGGCCGAGATCTGGAAGAGGTGCCACAGCCTTTGCTGCTCGCTCTTGAGCCCCGCCGCCTCAGCAGCCGCCGCCTCTTGCTGCTCGGGGGGCAGCTGCTCTTCCTGCTCGGCCTCCGCCAGGCACTGGCGCTCCCACTTGGAGAACCAGTGCTCCGCGACCTCGGCCTCGCCCTCCCTTGGCTGCTCCTCCATCCTCCTCCTCCAGGCCGCGCGCCGCCTCCTCCTCCTCCTTCTCCACCTCACCTCCTGCTCTGAGCTCCCCTCTTCCTTCGGCAACCTCCGCCTCCTCCTCGTGCGCCGGCGGCCGGGAGGGCGGGGGCGCGCGCGCGCGCGCGCGCGGGCGACAGGGCCCTGAGGCCAACTGCCACGGCGTGCGCCGCCCACGGCCCGAGTGCACGCCCCGCCCCGCCCCGCCGGCCCGGCCCCTGGCAACGCCGCGGTCGCTGCCTCTGCGACCACAGAGATAACCCCGCAGCCGCCGGCGCTGCCGCGCTGCCCCCTTCCGGCCGAGCGCTGCGCTCTTACGGCCCCCCCATAGCGCCGTGGCCTCCCCGCCGCCGCTGTCACAGCCGCCTCAGTCGCTGCAGCCGCAGCGTCCCGGCGGCTCGGTCCCAGCCGCCGCTCGCGCCGCGGCTGCCGCACTGAGAACTCAGAGGGGGGCCGGCAGGAGCGGTGCCTCAACGCGGCGCTTGTCTACCGCTTGGCCCCCTTTTCACACATTTTTGGGACCTGTCGGCTTCATCCAATGAGCTGATCAAATTTTACATCCTATGTTGCCAGAGAGGATTATGGGGCAACTTCATGGTGTCCATCACATCCAGGGCGCCGATCGGGCAGGCCCGGGGATAGAGTGGAAAGAGCGCAGCGCCCGCGAGTAGGCAGGCAGTCTGGACCCCAGCAGTGTTCTCCACCCAGTAGGTGCCCGAGAAAAGTGTTTTCCGTGGGCCAATACTTTGTAAAAGAAAAAAAAAATCACAGGAAAGCTCCTGTCCCCTCCCCACTTTCTTGGGCCTCCGTTTCCCCAAGTGTCCAATGAGTTTGGTGGACTAGGTCTCCGGAAAGCACTTCCAGTCGTGACTGAGAACTTTTCTTGCTGTTCTTGCAAAGTACTTCTTAGGGGCTAGTTGCAGACTTACCAAATTCTAAGAGTAACGTCAGAAATGCTGTTGATTCCCCGCCCCTGTATTCTTGCGAAGATTTTTGTCATTAAGAATAATGGGGTGGGGGGGGTTCTGTGTGGACTATTCTCAACTATTGAAAATTCCAAGATGAAGAAGTAAGGGGAAAAAAGGAAGAAAAAAAAAAAAGCCCAAACACGGGATTTTCTGTTCTAGCGTAAGGTTCAGTCCCTTTTAGGAAAGAAGAAGAAAAAAAACTTACCTAATTTCCAACACCCTAAAAATTCTAGTTAGTTAAAACATTATAATAAAATTAAGCTAAAACGGTATGGGAAGCTAACATCTTTTCCTTGGGTTCGATAACAAATCCCTTGTAATGATGCAATCCTTTTTCAGTGCAGACAATTCCAGAGCAAAGTGTGTTAAAGAAGAAAAATTATCACTGACCTAAAAATAACATCAAAAATGGGAGGAACTAGCATGTAATCATTCGATGATTTAGAGAAAAAAGTTAAAATGTCACAGCTTTAGTTGTGGAATATTTGCTAAGTATCCAGAAAGCCTTACAGACAACAATTAAAGAAAGCTAAATCTTAGAGCAAAATATGTGTAATAATTCCCACGTATGAAAATTAGTACATAAAAATAAAATGATCTTATCATTAAGCTTTATCATCTTCCTTAAGGAAACACATGTTTCTAAGTTAAATTTAAAAGAGAAGAAGAAGAAGAAGAGGGAATTGTGCCCTTTCTCTGCAAACCGGGCTTTTTCACGATTCATTAAACCCTTTTTCCATATGTGTAATTGGACTCTTCTCATTTACATAAACGAAAGATGAGGCAAAAGACCTAAGATCAGCCCAAAAGGCGAGAGATGTTTCTCATTCTCCTATGTTTAAAAAAAAAAATTGTAGAAGAAAACATCAAGAAGGCAGAGCCTCCTTCCTCACCCCCTCCCCACCAGACCTGAAATACTTCATAGCCAAGGAGTTAGCCAGTTTGCAGAGCTTTGGGGGTTGTCCTGCACATGGTGCCTCACAGTTATTCTCAGAGGCACATGTTTTTATTTTATTTTCTCTACATAAAAAGCTTGGACCAAAATGACTGACAGTAGGACACCGCATCCTACTTTCTCTCCTCATTTTTGATTGGGTTAAAAAAACAAGAAGAAAGACTGCACTGTCTTTTAAACAGCACAACCCTCTGCTTGGGCTTGAGTTGCCTGGCTGGTATTCTCCATTCAGTTGGTTTCAGCACCTGATTAATTAGTTAATTAGTACTTAGAGCTGACTAGCCTCGTTCGGCAATTTTCATGCCCTGCATGGTGAAATGTTGAATCCAGCATTGAAATTTTTGTGTCACACACCCTAATTATTATCACTCCACTACTTTTAAAACCATTGCACCAAATTATTATTATAGACAGAGCCAGACGACTGTGTGGGAATATGTTCTTTCTGAAAAATAATGGTAGACAATATTTTCCACTGTCGCCCTTAACACATTTAAAAAAAACAATTGAATGAGAAAAATCCTAATTCAGTTAGCCTCCAACTCCTTCCATTGAGAAAATGATTTTATGAGAAATGTTAGAAAAATCACATTAAAAATTTTTTAAAAATGAGTAATGTTTTATTAGTTCCCAGGATGGCACAGAGTGTATTTACACAATATCCTGAGATTAGTTTTGTTCCCATGTAATGTAAAATGTTGCAAATTTTTTTTAAAAGAATAGAAAATAGAGACAAAATAAAGAGACCATTTTTTACTTGCTATAAGGAAATGATGCTATCTATGTTGGGGGGGATAAACTTTTGATGTTTAAAAAAACTGATGGTTTAGGAATGAGTTGTCTATGGGAAGAAATATTCCTTGGCTGCTGCCCCATTCTCCCATAAATTGGATGTCATGGCTAAGGTTAAGTATCAACTAGAGAAAAAATAGTTTTTAGAAAATAAGGACACAAACCTAGGGCTGTCTGATTTTTAGCATTTCTCAATGTACTATTACTGAAAAGGGCCCCGTATGTCAGTGATTTCCAATATTATTGGTAGCTATTTTCACCTGGAAACAATCCTTATATATCAGTAGTGGGTTGCCTGTAATTGTAAGAGCTAAATGGTACACAAAACTGGATACACAACCACACAGACCAGTAAATGGGTCGGACTCAAAGCAAAAGTAAACACCAACCTTAGGAAATGAAAGAAGTTAAAAGATAAGTGTTAAGGACCTTATTCTTTTTGGAGAATAAAACAAGATTTAGTAGCTTTCCACTTAATTTAAATGAAAAGAATCACTACCTTACATATTGCAGTGATAATGTAATGGGGAAAGAAAACAAAAAAGTCTTTGTACAAATGACACCTCCTATAGTTGTTGTGAAGAAACTTTTCCCCTTGGTATCTGCTAACAAATTCTAATTAATGCTGCACATTCCTTTACTGAAATCATTTAATGCGTAACAAGGGGGGTAAAAAGAAATGCTGAATGCTCGTGATTGCCCTGTTAGAATTATGGGAGTGAAAGCCTGGGGCCCCAAACTTACTGTCTATTAAAGCCAAGCTTTGAAAAAGAAATGCAACCTACAAAAGCTGTCAATCTCCCTTGCCCCTAAAGCCTGGGTTCACATGGATTCAAGTGACAGCCCTCCTCCCCCATGCACAATACATCAATCTGTCTCTCCCACAAGCACCCACAGCCCATTGTGCTGGCCGCAGGTGCCTATTATGGCACCCATGGCTGCCTCCCACAGCTCCGCCCCTGAGAAACAGGAACTGCAGACAATGGAGCCCTGTGGGAAGACAGAGGTGGGTGTTGGGAGGGATAACAGACAGATGGTAAAGGGTACAGGGTAGTAAGGTAGTTTCAAAACAAATGTCAAACATTCAAAATTATTGCTTTCGTGTGCCCCCCTTTTGAATTGCCTTTGCTTTAATCACCATCTGCCATAATTAAGAAAATACTTACCTGTTAAGGATGAATATTTGCTCTTCTTTTTGGGTAGTGGTACAGGGGATGACCTTCAATACTCCTGTTTAGCCTCTAGGTTTCTCAAGGTCACAGACTGAAGGGTTTTAGTTAAGTGACACCAGTAGACCATATAGGGGAAGGAAGGAATATTTCTAATTTTTTATAAGGTTTGTAATTTCCTTTCAAGCTCAGTTTGGGGCTCCAGGAGGGGGTAAAATTTATAAAAACTAAGCTAATTTGGATAATATATTTGTGAAACCAAAGTACTATGAGACTTCTTACAAATATCACACCAAGCAGGTGGAAATTCTTAGACGATTTCTTTTCTAGAAAGGAGAAATGAAAAGGGAAATGAGGTAGATTTAATAATAAAAGTACTGAAGGTCTCTGACTCAGCCTCTTGTCTTATTCCCAAACATGCCACAATAAATAAGAAAAATTGTTTAAAAAATTACCAAATACTATTCACGTCAAGTGTTGTTATCAGAATAAATACATTTTAAACATTTCATTTTATAAAATGTCACTTGTCTATGGTATTTTAATCTTCGAGTTCTGAACTAATTAAGAAGCAATAAATGGAAGAATTAAAATATATGCCAAAAAACATAAATTAGCTCAAATAATTTGATTTAGTTGCTTTCGCCTTTACATGATCATCTCAATATAACACCTATTTCTGTTTCCAAGATAATTTGTTATAAATTAAAACCAAATTAATAATTTCATCACTGCTATTACTACCTGTCTCAAACAAAAAGCAAAAATCTGGCACAACTATAAGTCATAGTCAAGACAATTGGTGACTTGTTGGGATGAGGGTACCCCCAGAATAATGCCAAGGACTAAAACCAGCCAGTTTTCCTGAAGCAAACAAGAGAGTCTTGGTTTGCTGTCAAAAACCACAAACTAGGTTTTAACTAGGAACTGTCAGAGATCCAAGTGAGCTCCTGGCCAGGGAGAGCTTAATTAGCAGAGTTGGTTTGGGTTTTTAAATTACACAAGAAAAACAACCAATATGGTATGAAAGCATACAGTGGTCTAATGTAGCACAAAATTCACTATTCCTTTATATGTATGTGTGTAGTGATTTTGCACATTTAATTAATTATTTAAATTTAGATTTTAAATATTATTTTTG